CTGTTCGTTTTCTATCTATCTATCTATCTATCTATCTATCTATCTATCTATCTCAGTCTGTTCGTTTTCTATCTATCTATCTATCTATCTATCTATCTATCTATCTCAGTCTGTTCGTTTTCTATCTATCTATCTATCTATCTATCTATCTATCTATCTATCTATCTATCTCAGTCTGTTCGTTTTCTATCTATCTATCTATCTATCTATCTATCTATCTATCTATCTCAGTCTGATCGTTTTCTATCTATCTATCTATCTATCTATCTCTATCCATCCATCTATCTATCGTTATCTATCTATCTATCTATCTATCTATATATCTATCTATCTCAGTCTGATCGTTTTCTATCTATCTATCTATCTATCTATCTATCTATCTATCTATCTATCTATCTATCTATCTCATCCATTCTGCTCGTTATCTATCTATCTATCTATCTTTTCATCTATCTATCTATCTATCTATCTATCTATCTATCTCTATCTCAGTCTGCTCGTTATCTATCTATCTATCTATCTATCTATCTATCTATCTATCTATTATGTGAACTCTTTTTCGAAAATAACAGTCTGAAACGAATTATTTGAAAAAACATTTAATTGAATTGTAAATTGTTTGAATGAAAAATTAACCGAAAGGTCTATAGGTTACCCAGAGCGAGATACCTAATAAAGACAGGAGAGCCCAACGATCGAAATATTGTCATAACACCAATACAGATGAGGACAGTGCTCCAAATGTAAATAGTGTAAATAATGATAACACCTCACTCCAGAAATTCAGACAGAAATTCCTATCTCCGTGTATTCATATCTATCTATCTATCTATCTAAGTCTGCTCCCATCTCTATCGCAGTCTGTTCGTTATCTATCTATCTATCTATCTATCTATCTATCTATCTATCTATGTCTTTTCGCTATCTATCTATCTATCTATCTATCTATCTTTTTCTCGCTCTCTCTCTCTCTCTCTCTATATATATATATATATATATATATATATATATATAGCTAGCTGTACTGAAATCAGGACTTAGCGACCTAACTAAGTACTTATCTTAGTGTATGAGCGTGTATATATGTGTCTGTCTATCTACATATATATCCTTGTATCTTAACAATCTTGATACACATTTCTTTCGTGCGGGGGACATAGGAATACTTGGGTAGTTATCCATGTGCATGATTATCCCACCAGGGGTTATCGGCCCCAAACCTCTGATAAATGTATCTGTCTCGGAGAAAGTATACTCTGCTGTAACATTTGCTAATACGGATTCTCGTATCTACTTGACCCTAGGATTCTTAACAAGGTTCCTACGACACGTTGCCATGTTGCGCAAGCTGTACACGACTGTAATCTCAGAAATGACATTTCGACATCTTCAGCGTTCTGAAGTCAGGTGGTGATTTCGATGTGGCAACAGGAGTAAAGGGCTGGTAGCGTAGGCATTGGTAGCCTTTGGTAGATTTGCCAACCTATTAAGGCAGAGTTTGCACTCGGTTGCTGCAAAGGTGACGAAGAAACCCCGTTTAAAATCAAATATCTGGAAGGATCTAGAAAAGTATCCTAAACCAGTGCTTCTCTAAGTGGTGGTCCGTGGACCGGTGCCAGCACACGAACTATCAGCTACTAGTACGCGGCCAGTATCCATGCCATGGTAAGGAAACATTTGTAACGATTAGTTTATATAATTTTTGTTTCTTTTGTGTTAATAAATTGCTTATTTTTTTTATTATTTTTATATGTTTAGATATTGAAATATTTTTTGAAAAAATAAATGGAAGATAAAAAATAGTCAACTTTAATTATCTTCATTGTATATACCGTTTCAGGTATAAATTAATATTATCACGAAATATTTTAGGTACTTGACACATTGAGAGAAAAAATACCGATCCGCCATATCAGATAGTTTGAGAACCGCTATAATAAACGTTGACTGTTTTACTGAGTGTGACCAGTAACATAAAGCGCACGAAATTAAACGATAAAAACCGAAAATTAAACCCAAACTTAACATCTCTTAGTGGAATGCTCATTAACGGCCCAGCAAGCTTGTCTCCTGTTCAAAGAACCGTTTTTTTAGAGAACCCGGTCGCCCTGGCGTTGATATTGCTGTTTTATCTGAGTCCTGCCATTCTATCGACGTTCAAATTAAATAGCACGGCGATGGCTTCACTTTCTTCCGGAGAAGGTAAGCAAATAGATGAGAGACTCGTGTGAGGTTTGATGTACGACCAAAATCTGTTGTCTTGATTGAGACAGCTATTATTTGGCACAAGCGATAGACTCATGACATCTTGGTTACCACCTAGCCGTTATTTGGAATGATGCGTTAAAATGTGCTTACTTGCCTTAGATGATATTGACAATTCCTCATCCTACGAATTGCAGAGATGTTACTTTCAATATTTTCTTTGGATTGATATCATCATTTTCTTAGGGGAGTTTTATGCTTGTCTTGGAAATCTGGAATTTCTTGGGGGTACGGAATAGGAAGAAATAATTATAATGGTCAGGCGTTTTTTGAAATGTGCACATCGATTCTGCTTCACATTTCGAGTACACAATTAAAAATAATATTACCATATAACGTCCTGGGTTTTTAAGATCCAGTCAGTGACACCTACTGGATTACAATGGTCCTCAAATGCGACATGCAGTATTTCTCACAATGTAAGACATCTCCCAGGTCCGACTTGTTAGATCGAAAATTAAATGGCAAAATGCTATTGGTCATTAAGCCAGTTTGCTTTAAGTCACATTGCTGTGAAGTTATAAAAAGCGCTTGGATATTTCAAATCTCCATTCAAAGACACTCGACAAGCTATGCTAGCTCGAATTTGTTGTAGAGTGAACGAAAATTTTTCTTCCTCCGTATGAATCCGAATACGTTCGTCGCCAAGTGTTGTATATGGCGAACGAATTTTTTCTTCCGTATGAGTTCGAATCCTGGTCGCCAAGTGTTGTAGAGTAGTTTCACAGTGGAGGCTTGTATTTCACTAAGTCGATCCTAAAATAAGTTCGACGTACAAAACGTTTGGAACTTGATATAATAGGTAATGACGCAGTAATCTAGTTGGGGTGGCTGATACTTTAATATCCGACTAACTGTCGTCCGACATCGACTGACTGACCAACTCACTGAGCGACTGGCGACTGACTCGTTACTATTACTACTACTACTTATTATAGGTGGGAGAGTCTATTAACTATAGAATAGGTGTGTTCCACTATAACAGAATTGAAACTCTGGTTCATTCAAGTAGCTGGAAAGAAGCTCATGATTGTATCTACAAGGGACAAAAAATCGGGCTAGTTTCCGCGTAATTCTACGTAATTAGATTGATGATATAAATATCAAGGCACGAGAACATGGCATCCCGTACCACTTATGAAGACAATTCAAAGATGCAAAGCTCAATGCTTAACGTAGCGTGAATTGGAAGACACCTGGTGATTTGACTAAGCCACAGAAAAGGAGACAGTTGCACACAATAAGAATAATAAAGAGCTATACAATCGCATGAAACAGGTCTTTGTCGTAAGAATGGCCACAGTTACGTCTCTCAGATCAAAAGATGACACAAGGCTCCTCGTCTGCTAGGAATTTTTAAGAGACGGAAAAAACGCTTTTCGGATCTGCTCACCAGGGATAGCTATGTGGACCAATGTATTCTTAACGAAATTTAGTAAAACCCCATCATCCAATCTATGAATGATTCTCTCAACTTGTAGCAAGTAAAAACTTTTTTTTTAACAAGTTAGAGATGAGAAAAGTCTAGTCTTTTTTTTTTTAAAGCGTTTCATCCCAAGCAAGGCGGGAAGCCACTAGCACGCAAGGGGTTACAGAGAGTTGGAGCGAGAGCAAATAGGAGTGATAGAGGAAAGGATAAAGAGAAGGATAGGGGATAGATCAAGCCATCTGAAGACGTCAATTGACATTATATTTGAATAGTTGGAGATTATAGCTATCAGGGAAACAGAAAAACGGGAGTGAGTTCCACAGGCGAGAAATGCGAGACATGAAGCTATTGAAGTAGAATAGACGGCTATATTTAACAGTTTTGATAGTGAAAGGTGTGAGAGAGATGCCAGCCTAGTAGAACGCTTAAATTCCTGAAGTCTGGGAACCAGCGAAAGCAGCTCATCAGAGCAGTTACCATGAAAGTATTTGTAAAAAAAAGACAGAGGGAGGCGACGGCACGTCTGTGAGAGAGCGACTGTAGACGAGATGCCAGATTAGGGCCAATTACATTGCATATCCGTCTCTGGATCAATCAAGAATCTTGAGACAAACAGAACGGACACCGGACCATATATGGCAGCAATACGCCATGCAAGGGCGAGTGGTCGATTTGTAGATTTGAAGGATCGTTTGCTAAAGTCCTTTGGTATGACATCGATCGCTTGGCTGATATATCGCGTTGAATCTTCCTGAACATCTTTAATACTGGGATAATTCCAAAAGACGGGAGAGATGCGATCATTATACCATTGTGCAAAGGGAAAGGTACAATGTTGGCGAGTTATCGTGGTATCGCTTTATTTTCGGCCGCGGGTGAAATACTAGGGATGGATATTTACTGTCACATCTAAATGATCACATTGTGGATACGATATTGCCAGAGTCACAATATCGCTCCCGGCCTCAGAGGGGAAAGTTCGATATGATTTTCACATCGAGACAAATCTAAGATAAATCGTATGAACAAAGGAAAGATCTTATAAAAGACTTCGATGTTAGAAAACATTCTTACGGGGAAGATCTTGAAACGCTTAGACTGTCCTCGCTATTTTGAAAATATCATCATTACATGATGACATAGAGATATCAGTTAGTGACATATTTTCAGGCGTCCTGGGTATGACGATAAACTACATAAGGCAGCAAGGCCTCTGATGAGGAGCGTGGAACCACCACTTAATTACTGTTGTTCCTAGGTCTACCTTAGGATTATTCTTGGAGCGATAGAAAAAGCCGACATATTTTCCAGCATCTTATAATCGAACATTTCCTATACCTTATCGGCTTATTGATTAGTGGTGAGAAAATAAAACTTTAGTGTTACGCATAATTAACAACCGGCAAATATTGATAGCATGATTCACACCAAGAATCACCTGACGGTCTTAATCGAACTTAAGGAACCATTGTCTGTGAAAGAGAAATGATGATACAGCCCAGATGATTCCAAAATATACTTTGCTCTCAGTAGCACATCAAACCATCAGAGAAGCCAGATGCATCAGTGGATTGGTTTGTTTTACGGCATATCAACCTCAATGGGTTATTTAATGCCGCCAACATTTTTAGTATAGATTCGTATAATAGAGTATGTATTCTTTGGTTCAGATTGGTTTGATTTATTTTGTTTTACGGCATATCAACCTCAATAGGTTATTTAATGCCGACAACATTTTTATTAATGGTAATTTTTCAAAAAATGTATAGCAGGTAATATTTCATTTTTCAAAAATATATAACTGGTAATAATGTATTGCTGGTAATTTTTTTTTATAAAGTATTTCTGGCATAAAAACATATTTTTATATTTTAAGTTTTTTAACCCCAGTTTGGGGGTTAACTCTTTGTCTATAGCTGGGACCCTATCAAGTGCTACCACCCCAGGTCAGGGTGGACCTGGGAACACCATGAATTAAGAGGTGGTTCCATGCTTCTCAAAATCTCCCGATTAGAGGCCTTGCTGTTGAACGTAGTTTATCGTCTTACCCAAGACGCGAATGTAGTTTATCGTCATACCCAGGATTCATCCGTGGTTTGATTTCCTTCTAGCCAACAGGTGCAGATTCACTCTAAACACAGTATGTCTGTCTTCACGGGGTAAATAGAAGGTTAGGTCAGCTTCATTTAAAATGTGCACTCGTGGAAGAATTAGAGAAACGAAAGATATCTAAACACCCTGATGGAGAGAGGAAAAAAAAGAGTTTTACTCACTTCTGCTGGAGAAGTTGGTACTCTCTAAGTGTTACCAAAATAAGCTTTGTAGTATCTGCCATTTTAAAAGAACTGTCTAATTGATCTAGAATGCCTTGCAAGCTACCAAATGCAAAATCAGGCCTCAAAGGATATCGGTGAGTGCTACAACATAAAACCGGAAGTGAAACCAGCTGGACCTAGGATGCATAAACACAAAACACCCGGATGATAGGAAGTTCCGCAGCGTACGGCAACAAAACCTTCCTTTTTATTACACGGCGATTGGTGGGGGTGTTAAACTAGTTAGGTGGTAATGGTGCCTTTATATAGCTAATTCTTCGTTACATTATTTTTATTATTATTCTTTATGTAGGTATATAATTCCAGAAGATTCCCGTTAATGGTCTTCCCTTTAAAAGTGACGAAGACTGCGTCAAAAATAGCATTTTCTCTACTTTTCCTAAAGTAACTAAAATAAACTGTATACCTTTACTTTATCGGTTTAAAAACATTTTCCTAAATAAATGCTTGTTTTCAGATTTTTATAAACTTCTAAAATATGGTACATTTTATTGAAGGAAGCTGAATAAACTTCCAACCTTGTCTGAAGCAGTTCTCCTCAGGTTCTTGCAAGAAAAAGATCAAATATCCAAAGATAGTCAGAAGCCATAAACATAATATTACAAATAAAAATTCATCAATCACCGTTAGAAAACTTATACAAGATATTTTAAATGTCTTCAACGAGAAAAGAAAAAATGAATATATTTGAGCTTCACTATTCAGAAGAATATCTAAGAGGCCAACATATGTTGTTTTTTTAATCATTTCACCCCAAGTAAGACGGTTAAAAGCCACTAGTACTCAGTGGGTTACAGGGAGTGAAAGTGAGTAAAAAGACTGAGGGAAGATTGAGGAAAAAAAAAAGAAACAAAAGATGGCCGGGGTTCAAGAAGATAAAAGATGGTGATTGACGTTGTATTTAAATTTTTGATGATTGCAATTATTATGGAAGCAAGTAAACGGAAATGAGTAATATAGGCGGGAAGTATGAGAAAAGAAACTTTTGGAGTAGAAGTGGCGGTTGCATTTAGCTATTTCAAATGCAAAGAGGTGAGACCTAAATGCCAATCTAATAGCACGCTTAAATTCCTGTCACCAGAGAAAACATCTCGACAGAGCAGTGGCCGTTAGAAAAGAATGGGAAGCCACACCACGTCGGTGGGAAAGTCGAGATGCCAAATTTTGGAGAATTTTCCCAAGAACCCCGAGATGAATAGCACAGGCATCAGACTAGATATGGCAGCTGTATTCAATTCGAAGACGAATGGTATATTTGTAAATGTGTAAAATGAACTCATGATGACAGAGTGACCAAACTTTCCTTGCAGTAGATGCAGCAATTAATTCGATGTAGTCGCTGCACTTCAAGTCAGTTGAAAGCGTGAGACCAAAAAAGCATACTATGTTGCTCTCCTCGGGTCTAGCGTCAGCCATGCTGGTGGAACGGAGAAAAGGTTAGTGAAAGCAGTTTAGTTTTGGAGGCATTAATATTTAGAAGCCATTTCTTACTCCAGTTAACCATTGATTGGAGGTCCTTTTCAAGAAGCAGCAGCAAGGTTTATTTTGTCTGCTCTGTCGGATTTGTTGTTGAGACAAGTGTAAATGGTTGTTTTATCTGCATAAATACTTAGTTGGGAAGTGATGGCGTCAGGAAATTATTGATGAAGATCAGAAAAAGCGTAGTACCCACGATGGAGACTTGGAAGACTCGCATTCGTGTGAAAGCATCTGGAAGCCAGATCGTTCAAAACTGTCTTAATTTTACGATTTCTGTGTTGAGGAAGTAGAAAATCAATTGCTGTAATTGAATGTGGATCATGAGATGGTGAGTTCAGTTTTTTTTTTTTGTTTTATTTTTTTCTAGTGGGTTTTCCTGATTTCATCGCCGAATTCTACGGTACTTTCATTTTGTATTTTTCTTTTGGCAGCGCAGATTTCGACAATCCACACGCAATGTTAGGCATTGAAAATACTCTGTTACCTAACAGACTAACAGCTTATAATCAAAGACACAATAAAGAGAAGTCGCCATTTTGACACTAGAATCTTAGAAAGAACCGAACGTAAAAATATTAATGTAAGGCCTTTTCACGATTTTACGAAATTAGTTGAGTTTATTCATTTGATAAATGCTGGAAAAACGAGTAGATTTTCTGTTGAACAGATGTAAAAGTGTTTTGCTTTAAATAAAAGCAAAAAATAAACGAACATATATATAAAAAACGAGGATCAAGTAGAGATTTATATAGACTTATTTGACTGTATTGTTGTAAATATAAATTTTATATCATGAATATATTGGCAATTAGTATTTGTTTCTGTAAATATTATACGTGATTCATATCTATTAATCTTTACTTTCTCAGTTTATTTATATTTCAGACATGTATGTTTCTTTTTGTATAAAATCTTAACGTTCATGTCATATGTCTTCATATTCAATTTTTTTTCCTTGTTTCATATTTTCTTTTTCTCTTTCTTTCACGGTCTGTCTAAATCTAAGGCTAGTGTACTTTCTTTCTTTCTAAGACTAATGAATGTTTGATCTGCCTGTTTAAATCTATAACTGTTGCATCTTTCTTTCTTTCTTTCTTTCTGTCTTTCATTCTTTTTTCCTCTTTCTTCCTTCCTTTGTCTTTCTTTCTGTCTTTCTTGTTCCTAGATTAATAAATAATTTCTTCTTTCTTTCTTTCTTTCTTTTGTTCGTTCGTTCCTTCTTCTTCCAGTTTTTCTTTCTTTATTTTTATTTACTGTTTACTCTCTCTCTCTCTCTCTCTCTCTCTCTCTCACTGTACTTTAATTTCTCGGCATCTGCTTAAAGGCTATTTTGTTTCTAATCTTTTGTCTTCTTTCTTTCTTTCTTTCTTTCTTTCTTTCTTTCTTTCTTTCTTTCTTTCATTCGTTCGTTCTCCTTGCATTTTTCTTTCTTTCTTTTGTTTACTGTTAACTTTCTCTAATCTTTTGATTCTAATTGTTTGTCTTTTATCTATTTTCTTTGTTTTTTTCTTTGTTTCATACTTTCTTTCTTTCTTTCTTTTATTCGTTCGTTCGTTCGTTCGTTCTTCTTCCAGTTTTTCTTTCTTTATTTTTATTTACTGTTTACTCTCTCTCTCTCTCTCTCTCTCTGTACTTTAATTTCTCGGCATCTCCTTAAAGGCTATTTTGATTCTAATCTATTGTCTTCTTTCTTTCTTTCTTTCTTTCTTTCTTTCTTTCTTTCGTTTGTTCTTCTTGCATTTTTCTTTCTTTCTTTCTTTCTTTCTGTTTACTGTTAACTTTCTCTCTCTTCCTCCTCCTCCTCTCTCTCTCTCTCTCTCTATGTATTTTAATTTCTCGACAATTCCTTAACAGCTGTCTTGATTCTAATCGTTTGTCTTTTATCTATTTTCTTTGTTTCTTTCTTTGTTTCATACTTTGTTTGTTTGTTTCTTTGTTTGTTTCTTTGTTTGTTTCTTTGTTTCATACTTTGTTTGTTTGTTTGTTTCTTTGTTTCTTTCTTTTTTGTTTCATACTTTGTTTGTTTGTTTGTTTGTTTGTTTCTTTGTTTCTTTCTTTGTTTCATACTTTGTTTCTTTGTTTGTTTGTTTGTTTGTTTGTTTGTTTCTTTGTTTGTTTCTTTGTTTCTTTCTTTGTTTCATACTTTGTTTGTTTGTTTGTTTGTTTGTTTCTTTCTTTCTTTGTTTCATACTTCGTTTGTTTGTTTGTTTGTTTCTTTATTTCTTTCTTTGTTTCTTTCTTTGTTTCATACTTTGTTTCTTTGTTTGTTTGTTTCTTTCTTTGTTTCTTTGTTTGTTTCTTTGTTTCTTTCTTTGTTTCATACTTTGTTTGTTTCTTTGTTTCTTTGTTTCTTTCTTTGTTTCATACTTTGTTTGTTTGTTTGTTTCTTAGACCAATGCATATTTTATATGCCTCGTTAAATCTAAGACGGCTGCATATATCTTTCGTTTTTTTGTATTTCATGTTAACTGCATCCTCCTTTCTTTCTTAATACGTTTAAATGCTGGTAAAATCTTTCTTTCTAAGACTATTGCACTTTCTTCTTTTCATTTTTGCGAAGTTTGATCGAATCTAAAGCAATAAGCATCGTACTTTTCTTACTAAAACTACTTGCACATTCGATTTTCCCATTGTTCCTTATTCTAGTATATCTTTCTTTCTATTTGTTTCATTCTGTGTAACGTTGCATCTATTTCTTGTTCTGTATTTTATTGCATCTAACTTACATTCACCCTCTGTTTATTACTATATTCTGATAAAATCTTTGCGAAGCTTACACTCTTTTACAAGCAGAAATACCAGAATGCACTTTCAAAAATATGGACTAATCAATTATGTGTATCTCTACGCACTTAAGACTGAATCAACTGAAAAAAAATGCGGCTTGAGAATACTCTGATGTATCTCAAGGTATAAACAATAATAAATAAGTTAGCATCACTTTTCCTTTGAAAGCATCAATCTTTTCACGGACGAAGTAGAATTTGAAACGCGGCATCATGGGAAATATTTAATTACACAACGTGCACTACTTCATGCTGCTTCCATTTATTTATTTTTTTTCTTTCTTAAAAGATATTTGCGTTTAGTATGTTAGAATTTTTGCTGCAAATATGGAGCCGTACAAAATAGAAATATATTCAAACGAATGTCAGATTTCGCAAATACATGAATAGATGCACACACGCGCACACACACACACACACACACACACACACACATATATATATATATATATATATAAGAATATATGTAGCAATAAATAAATAAATAAATGCATGTCGTTATTTTATGGTGATGTTTAAAACTGCGCGACTGATTTAAGCTAATCGACGGGGGGAAATATTTTCAGGGAAATCAATAGGAAAACGCTATATTTAGTTTGAGACTTCATCTAATTTAAAATTATTCTTCATTTTGCAAATGAAGAAAGAGGATTAATCATTAACTATTTCCTGTTAATCAAACGCCCTTTCTACACGCATTTATATATATATATATATATATATATATATATATATATTTAAAAATATATATAATATATTTTATATATATATATATATATATATATATATATATATATATAAATATATATTTTTATAAAATAAAAATATATATATATATATATATATATATATATATATAAATTTCTAAGAAGATAGAATCAGGTAGAATTCAATGTCCAGGACACAGTAAGAATATAATATAAAACTCAAACACTAATATTCCATGGTTATAATTTATTAGATTGGATTCGTAATCACGATCCAATTCATCAGACCTATAACTTCAAAAAGAATTTTTTTTGAATTTGTAGGTCCGATGAATTGGATTTGATTACGATTCCAATGTAATAAAATTAACCATAATAAAAGACTTGAAAAGCCACTCAAATATAATATATATATATATATATATATATATATATATATATATATATACACACACAAATTGTATATATATATATATATATATATATATATATATATATAACGCAGTAGCGTCCAAAACTAAGGGACAAAATTTTAAAACCTAATATTTGTTAGAAAGAACAACTGTGAAAAGCTGAAATTTTGACAACTGGTAGTCGTTATCATTCATACTAACATACTAAAATTTGAATCATTTGCAAAGGATAGAAAAAGAATTATAACAATTATTTATTTATTTTCAAATTTGGAACGTCCAAAAGTAAGGGACAAAATTGAGAAAAACAATGTAAACGGCAAAAAAACAATAAAAATACATGTTCAATCAATATTTAGTAAATGAGCCCTTGCTCTCAATGACAGCTGCACATCTTCGACTACAAGAACGAATCAGTTCTTGACAATCCTCGATACTAATTTTAGACCATCCTTCTTAAATCTTCACCCACAAATCCTCCGTGTTAGTGGGATTTCTTTCCATAACTTTCACATCTAAGGTCTTTCAAAGATTTTCTATTGGATTTAAGCCAGGACTTTGCGGTGGCCAATCCATAATTTCCAAATCTTGCTCGCTAAGGTAACTCATTACCACCTTGTGACATGGGGCATTATCTTGCATAAAGGTAGCCCTATCGAAACCTGAATTCTGTATGATTGGCACAACATGATCTTGAACAATGTTTTTATAGATCTGCGCGTTTACACGAGTTTGTAACCGGACAAGAGGCGTTGTACCTTGGCTAGAAACATTCCAAATACCATGACGCTTCCGCCTCCAAACTTAACAGTTTTCTTAGAACACTTTGCACTTAATCTTTCACCAATACATCTCTTTACATTGTTTTTTCCATTATTTCCAAATAAATTAAACTTGCTTTCATCACTGAAAAATACTTTTGCCCAATTTTCATATGTCCAAATTACATACCTGTTTGCAAACTCTAATCTCTTCTTCCTATTCTTCGAACTAACAAGTGGTTTCTTCCATGGGGTTCGATTAAACAGCCCTATTTCTTGCAGTCGTCTACAAACAGTCTGTCTTGACACATTAACACGTGAGGT